CGATGAGAAAACCGGTCTAGGAGTCGAAAAAAGTGTCGGCTATTTATTTATATACCTAGCTGTATCAAGAGCAATCTTCATACGCATGTGCCATGTTAGAGCTGATCCACGAGAAGGCCCTAACACATTAATTATAAAGATAAAACAATCAATTATAATTATTAAACTCATATCCTAACTATCATTTTTATATTCTATACAATTTATAACTCATTGGGTTAAAACAAGATCACATAAGAACATGTTTTTACCATGTAACTGTTCATCTAATGATCCTTTCTCCATAAGCTCATAAACGATGAAACTCGAGTTGATTTCGCTTGCGGAGCCCAACAATGAAATAACGTTCGGGTGATGGATCTTGCTCAACAAGTCAACTTCATTCTGAGATCTCCAATAAGAATCAGAGACTGAATATAGAGAGCCAAGAATCAGAAGCTGAAGTTATTATTTTACTTGCCTGAAATTCTCGTTTTGCTTCTTGGCTAACGTTTTCGATCTTCTTGATCGCTGCTTTCACATTGTTGTCCAAACAAGCCTTGTAAACGCAACCGAAACCGCCTTGTCCGATTACACTACTGTCTTTAAAACCGCCTGTTGCTTTCTCGAGCGTTTTGATATCGAAAAACTGCACGTAACCCTTGTTGATAGATGTTCTTCTCTGAGTTTTAATCGAGCCGAGTCGTCTCATTAACAAGGAAAAATGAATTTCCACTCTCGGAATCTTCATTTAAAACATTGCACAAAGATCAAACAAATAATCTCACACATACTTGAAGTCGATAAGAATCAATGAACAACAAAGAAGCTTGAAATCATCAGAATCAAGAACTTCTATTGAAAACACAAGATGATGAATTTGAAGCAGATTTTGTCATTACTGTGAAAGTACCTGAATTGTTGATGGATTTGGGAGATTGGTTCTTGCGATAAACCCAAAAGCCAAAACAGAACAAGATTATAAGGCTAAGAGAAGAGAAACTGATTATAAGACCAATCAGAAGTTTCTTATGAGCATCAAATCTGTCTTCTTCACCACTTCCCATTTGGATTCCTGACACAGAACAATTCTTCAATGATTCTGTCAAATTTGTAAAGTATGGTTCTTGAGATTTTGAATTCAAGAAAGAATTCAGATAAGAAAAATAATTATGTTTTTAAATTAAAAAAAATAACAAAAAGACAACAAGTGAGTAGCTCATAAATAGCATTTAATTATCTATTTTTTTTTAAAACAAAATTGTTTATATTTTTCGAGATTCGAGGACGCATAGATCAAATCAAGAAACACAGAAGTTAAAATAAAAAGGAAATGAAGTCAACGAAGAATAATACCAGGAGAGAATGTAGCCATGGAAGAGTAAACAGGAGCTAAAGAAGGATTTGAAGCAGAAGAAGAAGAAGCTGAAACAGTGATGAATTTAGTAATGAAGATCTTGAAAAGAACAAGAAATTGAAAATGAAGAAGTAGAAGCTCTCTCATTTTTTGTTTTTTTTTTGCTAAGAAAAGAAAAGTTTTTGATGAAATTCAATCTAAAGACTTTTTAGGGGTTTTGAGATTCTTGAGAAAGCGAAGAGTGAACGAACTATCACTTTCTCTCTCGCTGTCTTCTTGAAATCACTTTTATGGCAAATAAAGGAGGGAAAGAGAAAGGGAGCTTTTAAACAAAATTTCTCTACCATTAATATAACAAAAAAGAAAGAAAGTGATGAACTAACGACCGATGAAAGATTTGGGAAAATAAACTCATTGATAATTCATTTTTAAGAAATAATAAATTGTAGTGCCATGGATTTATTTATAACTCACAAAATGACCATCTACAGTATTTGTTAAAAGAAATATGTGTACATGAAAATATTATGCAAATGACCATCTATTTGTTAAAAGAAATATGTGTACATGAAAATATTATGCAATGTTATATAAGTGAATAAAACATTATTTTATTATGTTTAATTGAATATCATAATACAGTATGACATAGTAAATTAGTGGTTCAATGGTTCACTCTGACATTTGGTAGAATTTGAACCTTTTTTTTTTTTTTTTTTGAATAACCGCTGGTCTTCCAAAGGCTTCCTAGGCCCAAGGACTAATCCCACGAGGCTGGCAATTCTCCTATGTAAACCTGCCAGTGGTCCTATCTAGAATTTGAACCTTTCCACTACGAACAATCATCTTTGGCCACCATAGATGTTTATAGTGGCAAAAACTTGGAATTCAATTAGTCCTAGAACCGAAGCCCTCAAAATCTCCCATCTAATGTTCGCGGACGATGTCATGATCTTCTTTGATGGGAGTGAGTTCTCTCTCCATGGTATCAATGAGACTTTGGAGGACTTTGCTAACTGGTCCGGGCTTAGAATGAACAGGGAAAAAACAAATCTTTATCATGCTGGCCTGAATCAAGGTGAGGCCTTAGCCATTGCTAGGCACGGTTTTTAAGTGGGGAATCTGCCTGTGGAAGTCGAAACTAACACAATCAAGATTTGTCTAGGGTTTTAATTTAGGGATACGATAAGCGTGAATTCTCAAAGAACAACAGAAACAATTGTAACCAAAGATGGTGTTCTTGATCTTATTGATGAAAAGAATAGTTTTGATCGTACAAGAGTTTGATCGTAAAAGGAAAGGATGTTTGTGCTGTGAGAGCTTTGCGTAGTGTAAATTCTAGAGCGATATTGCCTCCCCTTCTGCGAGAGCCTTGAGTCTCTCTATATAGGGGTGATAAACCGCCTCTCCAGCGATATTCTCGGAAGATTTCCATTTATCTTGAAGTCGGCGTAGAATATCGCGGATCAGGATAGTTTCCTTATTCTTCAGAGTTTTTTGGAAGGTTTCCTGATTTGAGTTGATCCTTCGTGATTCTTCTTTATCATTTCCGGGTTTATCGAAAATGATCCTTCTTTTTCGGAAATGATGCCTTGCTTGGAAATGATACTTTGAAGACGAATATTTACCAAGTCTTCACCTCGGGTGATGATGAAGACTTCGCCTCGGAGAACTTGTGCAATCGGCTCGGGTACACAGGAAGGACTGGCTCAGGTACTCTAGGATGACTTATCCGGATACCCCCGAGGCGATGGGCTCGGGCATCCCGAGGCGATTGGGTTCGGGTACTCCCGATGTCTTGTCCGGATACCCCCGAGGCGATGGGCTCGGGTATCCCGAGGCGATTGGGTTTGGGTACTCCCGATGTCTTGTCCGGATACCCCCGAGGCGATGGGCTCGGGTACCTTAAACTGATTAGATGGATAACCCGAGGTGGATGATGCGATGTCCCGAGGTGATCTCTGAAAAACTCCCGAGGTGCTCTAAGTCTGGCTCGGCGCCACAGGATGGAATTTTCTGTTGTTTCATCTTCTCTTGGCGTGTGACGGTTGGGATTCCTTCTCGAGAAGTGAAAAGGTCCTTCGCTGATTCCCGAGATTCGTGCGGATGTGAAGTATCCTATTTAATTCGCGCGTGCCCGACGCGCCTTAGATGCGGACATGGTGTGTTTTATTCGGCTCGTACGAACCCGACGCGCCCTAAATCCCTATAAATATTAAGTCTCCGACTCATTCTCTCATTTCGCAACTGCAAAGGAAAATTTTCAAGGTTCGTTCTCTTTTCTCTCTGATCTTGAGCTCTTCCATTTTATATTTTTTCCGTTATACTTCCGTCGTAGCGCCACCGTTATTAGATCTAGGGTGATTTCTCCGATCTGCCAAGCTTTGTTCTTCCGATCAACTTCTTCAATTGCCCGAGCTAGAAAATGTCTCTCTCTGATTCCAGTAATTCGCCCCGAGGCGACACTCTTCTCCCTGTCTACAAGAGAAAGATGGTCTGGAGTTCTTCAAGTGACCCCGAGGCGGACACCATGGACCGTCAGATCGAGTTGTACCGCGGTAGTGATGCAGAGTCGGCCTCACGGGAAGAAGACCCGAGCCGTTTCATTGCTCGGGAAGACACGATTGCAGATGTGGCTCGGGATCAGGATTTGCCTGATGATCCCGAGGCGATTTTGAGTAGGAGGAGGATCCATCCACCGGCAGTTGGTGAAGCTGGAGTCTCGTGCTGGCGAAATGCCCCCGAGGCGCCTCTACTTCCTATTAAGGCCAAGGAGGTTCATTATGATTCTGACGAGGCGGCTAGGTTGCTCCAAGCTAAAGTTCAAGCAGCCAAGGGTCAACAGAAGAGAAAACGAGCCAAGAAAGCTAAGAAACCTGATCCCTCGGGTTCCACTTTATGCACGGAGGATTCCCTTCGGGATCTCAAGGCCCGATTCGGTTTTAGCGAGGGGATTGAACTAAGACTTCCAACTCTGAATGAGCGAGCAGATGATCCGCCCGAGGGGTTTTTCACCCTTTACGAGGGGTTCTTCTACCATTGCTACCTCAGGCTTCCGATTCCGAGGCCTATATTGGCGTTTCTATGGTCGTACAAGATCGCTTTGTCTCAGATCACAACCCGAGGCTTGCGCCATCTCATAGGGATTCTAGTCCAGAGTATTGAGACGGTCAATCTTGTCGACCTTAGCCACTTAAGGAATCTCCTAGAGATCCGGCGGATACCAGGCCCTGTTGAGAGATTTTACATATCACCGAGGCCAAATAGGAGGGTTATCGGTGGTTTCCCAAGCAAGGATGAGAAGTACACCGACCATTTCTTCTACGTAGCCTTGAATGAGTATAGTGTCCACGAGGACTACTTAGGGAAAGTTGTTGGAAAATGGAGAAAAATTGGTACTACGCCCGAAGTCGTATTTGCTGTTTTGTTTTGCTTTAAACTTTTCGCTGAACGTTTTCTTGTTCACGCAGATCGGAACCCGTCATTTCTTGAAGACGTTCCCAAAGGCTTTCTAGATCTACACGACGAACTAATAGCTCGGAAGTGCGATTGGACGAAACACTTCTCCCAAGAAAGAATTGAGAGAGCCTTGCGTTTGCTGCACGGAGCTCCTTGCCAATCCTCTTCCGAATCGTCCGATCATCGCCTAGATCATCTTATCGAGATGCAGGGTGCTGCGCAGTCTCTGAGAGCCAGGAAAGCTGCCGAAAAGAAGGCGGCTAAGGAAAGAGCTGTTTTGGAGGCAAACTTCAGACCTCCTACTCCTCCCAAGGCCAGCCCTGAGTTCGTCGTTGGTGCCGAGGCGACTGATGAAGCTCGGGATATGGCTTCGACCGTGCCCGAGGTGGCTGGTCATATCTCCCCTACGACCGATGTCCCCGAGGTGGTAGGGGCTCTGGTTATTATTGCTCCAGCCGCCGAGGCGAAATCCAAAACTAGGGGAAAAAGACCCCGAGGTTATGGCTCGAGAGTTTCTAGGAAGGAGAAGAGGAGTCGTAGTGAAACTCCAGTGTACAAGGACAAGATCGCTTCGGCGAATTTTGTTGCTTCTTGCTCGGGTCCACCACTGTCTGCTCCCGAGGCCTTGCTGGAGGCTCAAAACTACCGTGAAACTGCTGCTGGATTTCTGAAGGTATCGATCTGTCCCTGACGTGTGAAATAGGAGTCTGCCTCGATCCATTTGGAGAGGTGGCTCGTGAGAAATCGGAGATGTTCCGAGCTGAGGTCGAGGCTAGGTTTTCCGAGGCGATCACAGCTAAACAAGAAGCTGAGGCGTTGGCCAAGGCCGAGAAGGTGGAGCGGTTGAAAGCTTCTGAGGATAGCCTGCAGACTCAGAGAAAGCTCGAGGCCGAGATTGCACGCCTCCATCGGTTATTTACCGAAGAGAAGGCTCTCCGGGAGAAGGAGATTGTCAGAGAATGGAGGGAAGCCATAAGGGAGTTTGCCGAGAAGGTCAAGGCTATCGAGGCGAAGATGGACCAGTACGGGAAGGTATCCACGCGCTATATGTACTTGGTGCAAGCGCGGGCCAATGCCGAGCTGGAGGAAGGGAAAAAGGTAGAGGATGAGAAGGCCGAGGTCCTTCAATGGACGGCTGAGTATGGGGATGCCGAGGATGAGTACGTCCGTCTCGGGACCGAGCTGCGAGAGGACTTGAAGCTTCCTCCGGTTTCCCCGGACTCTGTCGATGATAGCTTTGGGAACGGATCGATCGAGGGTGCCGCGGCGGCGATAGGTGTTGCCGACCAGTCGGGTTCGAACCGAGGTAGCTCAAGTTTCGCCGGTTAACCAAGATTCGATTTGATCCCGAGATGTCTTTTTATCATCTCTTTTGCCTTTTTTGTAAGACATGCCTGAACGGCTTTATCCACTGAATATTATGTTAAAAGTATTTTAATCTTAAAATTTTTCTGAACTGAATCCGATACTAATGTCAAATAGCTTGGTTTAGGACTTGCTCGTTGAGAAGTTAAAAGTTTTTCCTAATAATTTTAACTTCCGAGCCAAAAGCGAAAAGAATCGTGCACCAGTATTAAGTTAACTGGGTTTATGATTTGCTAGTTGAGAATTTAAATTCAAACGTTTTAACTTCCGAGCCGAGGAAACGAAATATGCGCCAATGTCAATGTTGATGAGTAGCGTACCAGTGTTAAAGTAACTGGGTTTCGATCACGTGGGACTAATCTTTATCGGTTGTGACCCGAGCTGATATAGTCGATGCCAGTGCTTTGAAGCGAACTGGGTACCAGTGTCGAAGTTAACTGGGTTTTCTGAAGACAATTTCTTTGGCAAGATATCTCCGACCGAATTGTCTTGAATGCTTATATAGCGCGCTGTAACCGAAGCGGTGAAGTGAGCTCTTTGTTCGTAGGACGTGGCCATCGTTTGAACGAACTGTCGGCTTTGTGGGTCGATAAGAAGACCGTAAAGGTTCCCGAGGTGAATTTCGGGATGGATGTCGAGGTGGATATTGAAAACCCGAAGGGTAAAACTTAGAGAATTTAAGAATTTTAATGGGAGTATATGTATACGGACCCACTCCCCTCCTTTTTTAATTAGGGGGGGGGTAGCTGAACTCGTCCGAGGACGAGCTGCCTACGTACCCTTTTCAGGGATCAAGCCACCCCGTAGTTCAAGTATATGCGTACCTTAGGTTTTTAGCGATCATATTTCCTTAGATGCATTGCGTTCCAGGATCTAGGTACCGCTTTGCCGTTCATGTTGATGAGTTCGTAGACGCCGGAACGGATTACCTTTGCGATTGTGTAAGGTCCTTCCCAATTCGCGCCGAGCTTACCTGCGTTCTGTTCGGCGGTATTCTGGAAAACTTTGTGCAGTACGAGATCTCCTTTGTGGAAACGGCGATGCTTAACGTGAGAATTGTAATACCGAGCTGTTGCATTCTGATAGTTCTGCATACGGATCAAAGCCAAATCTCTTCTTTCGTCGATTAAGTCCAGTTCGTCCAACATCATCTGAGTGTTGGAATTTTCCTGCTCGGGGAGCAAACGTCTTCTTATTCCTGGGATCTCGGCTTCGGTGGGAATGACACACTCCGTACCATAAACGAGGGCGAAGGGTGTTTCTCCCGTGGCCCGCTGCGGCGTTGTTCTGTGCAACCATAGTACTCCTTCCAATTCATCGGCCCAACGGCCTTTCTTTGCGTCGAGGCGCTTCCTTATTCCGTCGAGAATCGTCTTGTTTGCTGCTTCCGCCTGTCCGTTTCCCTGAGGATACCGAGGCGTAGACTTGCTGAGGCGGATTCCCCATTTCTCACAGAATCCTTCGAATCGAGCAGAAATAAACTGTGATTCGTTGTCTGTAACGATCTCGTAGGGTACCCCTTGGCAGCATATGATGTTCTTCCAGACGAAATTCTCGACCTGTGCGTCTTTGATGCTGGCATAGGAGTCTGCCTCGATCCATTTGGAGAGGTAGTTTGTTAATACGAGGACGAGCTTCTTCTGCTTGGAGTTGTGTAAAGGTCCGATAATGTCCATGGACCAGCACATGAAGGGATAAGGCGAGGTGATGGAAGAGAGGAGCTCGGCGGGTTGACGAATAGTTGGTGCGTGTCTCTGGCATTTATCGCACCGTTGAGAAAACTTCTCGCAGTCTCTGACCATCGTCGGCCAAAAATATCCATGGCGTTTGACCTTCATGGCTAGGGCTCTCCCGCTAGAGTGATTTCCACAAGATCTGCCGTGTATTTCTTCCATGACTCTCCGAGCTTCGTTACCTTCGACGCAGATTAGCAAGGGTCCGGAGAACCACCACTTAAAGAGTTCTCCGTCGATTAGAGTATACCGAGCCGCTTTTGCCTTAAGCTTCTGAGCTGCCCATTTTTCTGTAGGAACTTCTCCATCTGCTATGTAACTTCGGATGGCTCCGATCCATTTGGCGTCGCTTCCATATTCGGGCTCGGTTGCGTCTGTAGTTTGTTGGTCTAGTGGTTCGGTGTCTGTTTCTTCTAGGTCTTCCGTCTCCCGAGCTGTTAATACTTGATCTTTGCTACCGTCTTCAATGCTCGGCTTTTCGATGAACTCTACCGGTATGATCCTCTTCAGATTTGGGTCGGAGGTTGAAGCTAGAGCTGCTAAGGCATCGGCCGATGTATTTTCCCCTCGTGGGATTCTGGGGTCGGAGGTTGAAGCTAGAGCTGCTAAGGCATCGGCCGATGTATTTTCCCCTCGTGGGATTCTGGTTAACTCGAACTCTCCGAACTGTTTCGCTAAGTCTTGCGTGAGAGCAAGATACGCTTCCATTCGTTCGTCGCGAGCCGCGTATTCTCCATTGAATTGATTGGCTACGAGCTAGGAGTCGCAAAAGGCTCGCAGCTTGTTGATCTTAAGTCCCCGAGCCAGCTTAAGTCCTGCAATCAGCGCTTCATACTCTGCCACGTTGTTAGTCGCGTCGAAATTTAGCCGAAAGGATTGATCAAGGATTTCACCCTCTGGTGATGCTAGGCGGATTCCGACGCCAGAACCTTGTTTTGAGGATGAGCCGTCGACGTGGAGGATCCAAACAGCGTCGGGTGACTCTTCTCGAGCGTTCTCTTTTGGCAGCTCGATGATAAAATTGGCCAGGACTTGAGATTTCGCGCATGTTTTGTTCCTGTATTCGATGTCATACTCGCTGAGTTCTACTGCCCATTTGGCCAGGTATCCCGACTGGCTTGGACTGTGCAGGATAGTTCGGAGTGACACGGGCGCCATTACGATAATTGAGTGAGACTGGAAATATGGTCGTAGCTTCCGAGCTGACATTACTACGGCGAGAGCGAGCTTTTCAGTTTGCGGATAGCGTGTTTCTGCGTCGGTGAAAGTTTGCGAGACATAGAATATCGGCTTCTGTTCTCCTCTGTCTTCCCTGACTATGACTCCACTTATCGCTGTATCCGAGACTGCGATGTATAGGAATAATGGCTCGCCCGGGACTGGTTTTGCCAAAACCGGTGGATTAGCCAGATACTTCTTCAGTTCCTGGAAAGCTTCTTCACAGCGATCAGTCCATTCGAATTTTTTGTTTCTGCGCAGAGTGTCGTAGAAGGCCAAGCATTTATCAGTAGACCGTGAGATGAATCGGTTCAGGGCTGCGACTCTCCCGGTGAGGCGTTGAACTTCGCGTTTATTCTGCGGTGAGGGCATGTTCAGTAGGGCATTGATTTGCTTTGGACTCGCCTCAATGCCTCGGTGGGTTACGAGATATCCTAGGAAATCACCCAACTTTACCGCGAAACGACATTTTGCCGGGTTGAGCTTCATGTTGTGCTTGTTGAGCTGGCGAAAACAGTCGCGTAGATGGGCTATGTGGTCGTTTTCTTCGAGGGATTTGACTAGCATGTCATCGATGTGAACTTCCATCGTTTTCCCGAGCTGCTCGGAGAACATCCTGTTGACGAGTCGCTGGTATGTCGCGCTAGTGTTCTTGAGTCCGAAGGGCATGACTTTGTAACAGTAGATACCTCGGTCTGTGATAAAGGCTGTCTTCTCGCGATCGTCGGGGTGCATGAGAATCTGGTTGTATCCCGCGAAAGCATCCATGAAAGATAGCAACTTATTTCCCGCAGTTGCTTCTACTAAACGATCGATATGTGGGAGCGGAAAACTGTCTTTAGGACAAGCTTTGTTCAGATCGGTGAAGTCGACGCAAACTCTCCACTTGCCGTTCTTCTTTTTAACCACGACAGGATTCGCTAACCAGTCTGGACATCTTGCTTCGGAGATTGAACCGATCTTCAGGAGTTTTTCTACTTCTGCATTTACGGCATCCGCGCGATCCCGATCCAATTTTCTTTGCTTCTGCTTGATGGGCTTGAAAGATGGGTCAACATTCAGCTCGTGGGAGATTACGTCGATGCTTACTCCAGGTAGATCTTCAGCCGACCAGGCGAAGGTGTTAATGTTCTCCTTGAGGAATAAGATGAGCTCGGTCTTGATCTCCTCGGTTAAGTCGCTGCCGATTTCCACGCACCGTTTAGGCCATTCCTCGTCGAGGCTAATGGAGATTACCGGATCCGAGGTAGGCTTCTTTTCCTCGCGTGCCTCCTCGATCTGTAATTGCTATAACTGTTTAGATATAGCCTTCTCTTCGCTCCGGCCGAGTTTCGCTTTTTTGTGGTCAGCTTCGGCCTTAGCTTCAGTGACCGGGTTTCGGAGCTTGTGTGCTGCCATGAAGCACATCCGTGAATTTTTCTGACTTCCCCAAATCGTTTTCACGCCATTGGGGGTCGGGAATTTGACACAGAGATGATACGTTGATGCGACAGCTCGCATTAGATTTAGCCACGGCGTCCCCATTATGACGTTGTAGATGGTAGGTTGATCGGTGACCGAGAAGTTGACTATCTTTATTACCCCGCCGGCTCGGACTGGTAATTGGATGGTTCCAAGCGTCATTAAAGTTTCTCCTGAAAACCCGAGGACTGGCCTCGGGGTAGGCGTTACCTGTGACATGTCAATGTTCATTTGTCGGAGTGTTTCGCGAAAGATCACGTCGATGGTGCTGCCGGTGTCAATTAATACTCGGTAAATATCATGGTCTCCTATCGCTAATGTGATGACGATTGAATCGTTATGAGGCATGTCGAGCCCGTTCGTCTCGCTTTCTTCGAATGTGATCACGTCGTTAGGTTGATCAAAGGGTCTTGTCCAGTTACTAGGCGTCTCGGCTCGGCGTTGATAAGCTTTGATTGCCGCTACAGTGTCAGGACAGTATGGCGATCCACCCATTATGGTGAGAACCTTCTGCCGCGTACCATCTCGGTCTTCGTCTTCTGTCCCCCGGGT